CCTCATTTTTGCTTTTGCATTTCTTTTTTTTTCTTTTTTTTTTTCTTTTTTTTTGACAAGGGTAGTAATTAAAAAATTAGTATGAGTTAGTTGTTAACAACTGATTCTTAAATCGAGTGAACATTTCACTTTCTCAAATGAGACGCGTGACCATTAAACCACTTTTTTATGAAGTTCACGACAATAGTAGAGTTCGAAACTCTGACCACTTCACATAAGCACTTAAGGTTAAAGTCCTTTTGCATTCCTTGTCACTTTCGTGTTTGGTGAATTCAACATCAGTGTCCCACTCGGGCACTTATCATGAACAAACACAAACAGGCCTGATTATTGCCTCTACGCACCCTAGCTATTAAGGTCAACCGGTAAGATAATTTTATAAAGAAAATGTTGATTTACGCTTTCATTAAATGAAAAGAATTAATAAAAATTATTGTTACATAGGATGATAAGATTTTATAGTAAAAAAATTGTGAATTAATTCTTTTCCTAATATTATTGTGAAAAAATGGGCTCAACTCCCTTCCCTTATATCAAATTGTAAATATTATTTAATGGTATAGTATCAACTGTGAAACTTATTTTAATAGTAAAGTTAGATTCCTACTTCTTTTATTTCTTTATTTTTTTGTTTAAACTATTTATAATTTAAAAGTGAAAAAATTTGAATCTAAGTCTTAAAATTAAAGAGATACACCTTATTATAAATTATAAAGTCCTTGGATCAAAAAGTCTATATACAAAAATAAAATCTTACCTTGAAAGTAAAGTTAAAAAGGTTGTGATTTATAAGAATGGTCAATTATGAAATCTACACGTCAAAGAGGACAATTCCTCGTGGGAACGCCATAATGACAAGCAGACAAGACCTCGATCCTTGGTGTCAACAAAGCTTTCTCGTCCACCTTAAATTATTTAAAAATATGTGAAGGGATTCAACTTGAATATGAAATTACAAGAAAATTCAAACCTAACCTATATAGGAGAATTGACATTACATTGGAGGATGATATGATGAACAAATTACTGTAAGCAGTCGGCTACATGCAGTCAGACAATAAGGGAATAAGGGTTGCCTGAAAATTGTTCTAATGGCTTCATTTCCGGTTACAACATACTCTTAAAGGGAGACGAAGTTTAAATCAAATTAAACATGATGCAGAGATTGTGAAAAAAAAAAAGAAAAAAAAAAGAAAAGAAGAAGCAATTACAGCAACTCTTATATGCGCTTTTTTTTTTTTTTCATATATGATGTGTGTGTATATACATATAAACACATTTTGTTCCAAACAAAATCACCAAGAAACTCAGTAAACCCTGTAATAACTGTTGCTTACTATGACCTGAGGTAATTCTGTTGCAAAAAGAATAAAAAAATGAAGGCATTCATTAACAAAGACTAAAAAAGGCCATCGAATTTACGCTTGCTATTGGATCTACTCTTCTACCCTTGAGAGCCCGAGATGAAGATGCTAGACATTTCAGATACCTACGAACAAAACCTGGCATGTCTACATGATGATGTGTCTACATGATGATGCGTAATGCAGTAATATTAGATCTCATCTCTCTTCCCTATGTATTATGTCCCTTTGGCTGGAGTGCCAAAGACATTGCTCGCAGCCTGTTTGTTATCTCAGTAAATGATGGTCTGGTTTCGGGATCAGGTGACCAGCACTGTTCCATCAGCTTCTTCCATCCAGGATCACAACGTTCTGGAATTGGAGGCCGAAGAGTGTTCTTCAATATTCCCCCTTCAGGTCATCAACAATTCAGAAAATAAATACATAAACAAAATGAAAAAGTATTGTGCAGTCTGAACTGCACAACTTTAACTACTGGATGGGGTAGGCCCTCTAATATTAGGAGCTCCTCCCCCATCCAATGGTTCATGTTTTACAGTCCAGCGCAATTTGGACTGTAAAACAAGGAACTTTAAACAAAATAAGAAATAAAAAGTCAATTATAGTTTTCACTTGTGAATAAAGGAAACACAACTAACATACAAAATAAAGAAAACCAATATATCAGGGAAAGATAAGGAAAGCTAGGAGTACAATTTAGAAATAGTTCCAAATTAATATCAAGTTCTTAACAACTCCAGTTAATATAATTGACAAAGGTTAATCCATAACAGGTAAAATTAGCAACTCTCCAACTACTCCTTAGTTTTTTTATTTTCTTCATCTTCGATTATTCAATCATGAAATGTAGCATCGTTTCAGGTTTATTTTTTTTCTTTATTATTATTATTATTTTTGGTACAAAAGGAAGTGAACTGAAATAAAACGGAATTGATGCTAAATCCCATGACTGACTTAATGAAAGATGAAGAAAACATCTCCCAGCAACATATAATTTCAAGAGGTCAGTATTTATTTTCATCTCCTAGTTTTCTGTTAAAAAATTTATGAACAATTCCATACCTAACTCATTTGAAGTTATGCTCCCAAAAGAGTTCTTACCCTGTTTCCTACTACTACTAGGCAGACTCTGCCTTACACTCCCAAGAGATGAAGTAACAGCAGTTCATGCTACCAGACAATATATCAGCTAGAAGCTAAAAGTAAAATGCTTTTTCTGCGTGCATATGCATGGATGTACAAGCTAGAATATTGTCCAGGTTAAAAGAAAATTTATTCTTGTAGTTTCCTCCCATAGATTGCTTTATAGCCCAATGAATAACGTAAAATCCACATGATGAAGTAGAATTGCTCCAATTACATGGACTTCAATAAACTTTTCATTTCACATCTCAAAACTAATATCTTAGTTACATTCTTGTTATTTAGATGCCAATTGACGCAGACAAGCAACTGAGATGGAAAACTGGTTTTGACAATACAGAACGCAACAGTTGTCTTTTAATTACTCAATACAAAACACTAGAGTGAATTTATGTGCTCCTTTTAATTTAATCAATTCGACAGTTCAAAATTGAAGGAATTTATGAAAAATGTAACTGGGAAAAGGATTCATCCTCCACATATGTAAATCCCAATCCATAAATAGTACTTGGCAAATATTAGGCTCCTCAAAATCTTACCAATGATAGCACCGCAATGCATGTCCGCATATGGTTCTTCTCCAGTCAAGATTTCCCACATTGAAATGCCAAATGAGAACACATCAACCTGTCAATTTGAAATTTATGCTTTTGGCTTTAACATAAGATTAAATTATTTGCCCAGTGATAAGATATGAGGAAACAATTTGACTAACCTTCTCAGAAACCCGGCTGCTGCTGCCATTTAAAAGTTCTGGTGCCATCCATGGGAGAGTTCCTCTGACACCACCAGAAACAAGAGTATTGCGCTTGATTCTTGATAATCCAAAATCTCCAACCTAGAAAAGCAAATGCTAAGAAAAACTTTCAGTCCCATATACCTTTGACCGTCCTGAATCATTCAAGTTACAGCTGTTAGAATTATGGGAAAGAGAAAGGTCTTAAAGATGTCCTCTTTTTTTTTTTTTCTCCAATCATTTATTTTATCATTAGCATTCTGTGCAATCATGTGATTAGTATATTTGCAGAAAAGAAAAGAAAAATCCATTTTGATTTAACTAGAATTTACAGTTCTTTCCTTTGACATTTAATGGTAATTAGCATCACAAAAAGCTCCTTGAAATAAATTATCCCAAAGAGAGAGGCTGTTCTCTAAAATTTACCTTACATATAGGTCTTTGTGGATCCTTGAGATTGACAAGCAAGTTGTCACATTTCAGATCAAAATGAACAATGTTTTTGGAGTGCAAGTATTCCATGCCAAAAGCTGCATCCAGGGCAATTAAAAGCTTTCTACGACGATCCAGTGATCTGCATAAGAATACCAAGAACCAGTAAGCGCATTAATGACTGAATGCAGTACATAATCGAGAGATGCAAACTGATTACTTGTCTCTCTTGAGTAGCACATTTCTAAGCGACCCATTGACCATATATTCAGTAACAGTTGCCAGAGTTCCACCAGTTCCATCTGGCACTACTCCATAGAAGGCAACAACATTTGGATGATGCAGCTTTGAGAGGATCTGAGCTTCTCTCCAGAAGTCATTTGTCTGATGCAATAAAGACCTACTCATCAGGTTCAAGCACACAGATAATTCAAATAGCTATGTAGAATATGATCAAACATTTAATTATAGGTTATTAATACATATATAGATATCAAATTCCAATTCTTGTCTCCCAATTTTAGCAAAAGTTAAAGGTAAGGAGGAAAAGTGAGTTGCAAGGTTCAGATTTCTCATCAGACAAGCCTTTGAGCATTTTCCATGTCTTTTCTACCATGTGAAAGTCATCAAACCTGATCCATTTTAATGCCCTTTTCCCTAAGTCTCTCTATACTAAAAATTTGGAGTGATGATTGACGACAACCAACAACCTAAACTTTCTTGAATAAAATATTTGATGTCTCTGATCTCATACAAGCACAAGGAACTTTACCTCAAAAAGAGAACATCTGCCCATGGTAGAAGTGACAATAAACCAATCTCCAAAGGAAATGAAGAGGATACAATAAACAGTAGCAGAGTATAATTACATTTTACCTAAGTTAAGAAAAGGGCTAAAAGGGAAGGGAAATGCAAGTTGAAATAACAGGGGTAGCCCTGCCAGATTTTTAAATTAACACTAATGTAAACTGTATTTTGTAGATTCTTTCCTTATTTGGCAAGGCCCAACCATAGTTTGCAATACCAACAAAAGCAGTAGATAGAGAATAATCCCATTTCTTTGACTCTATTTTCTATAAGACTACCACTAACAATTCTTCTCACCTTATTTAGCTAATAAAAAGCTAGTATTAGGTTGCAAGATCATTCAAGCCACCGAGCTAGCAGTAGCACAAACTGATAGGAGTTATGTCATAAAACATCAAATAAAGTGCCTCTCTTGGATGAATTTGTCTTAAATGTTGACAGTAAACACATATCCTTATATCTATGGTCCAAATCATCACCAAGCTTTTAACATAATTTACTTTCCTGCTTGTACAATTAGAAACTCTTAAAAAGAAGGGAGAAGAAAGGAAAATACAGATAGACACTTACCAACCGTTCTTGCTCTGATGATCTCCCGGCAAAGCAGCTCTTTTTTATTCTCTTTATAGCCACATCTGTGCCCCGCCATTTTCCATGATAGACAGTTCCATATGTACCAGATCCTAACTCCCGCAAATCTTCTAGGTCAGCATTCCTTATAATCTGTAGATTAGGATCTGCCAACTGTCAGCCTCTTGCATTACCATTTTATAGACCAGAGAGAAGACAACAAAAGAATGAAACTGATAGTAAAATGGTCATTAACCTCCAAATAAGAATACTTTCCAGAATATTTTGTTCATAGCCAACAAATGCTCAATATGGAGGAAAACACTACT